GCTACATAACAAAGTGGAGCCTAGTGCCCAGTAAATTTTACTAAAATTTTTTTTATTACGGCAAATATTGCCTGACAATGAATTTTAACATAAACATTCAAGCTAGATTCAGGACACATAGTTGCCCTAAAATATGCAATATCTAATCTGGTTTTGCAAACTTTCCATTTTACTTACAGTGTGCAAACATAGTTTTTAATTTGTCCTCATTTTACTAGATCTAATACTAGTAACAAATGTAACAAAAATGCTTGCTTTTGATTCTCATACAGTTTCAGAAAATAAAATGGAATTATGGAGTTTTGTAAATAAAAAGCAAAAAATTTTATTGTACTAGTCTATTATAACCAAGAGATGTAATAATACTTAAATGAGTAAAATCTCTATTCCTTCCTATAAGTCCCCTAAACTGTGAATTTTCCCTAGAGTATGAATTAAACATTGTTTACGACTTGCTATCAATTATAGGTCTATGATTCCAAAAAGCAATATTTTTCATTTCCTAATATGTAGAAATAACTTTGAAAAGTTAGTATCATATGAAGAATATTTAATGTACTCAATTGTCATAACACAATTTTAAAAATCTAACCTGTTTGAAAATAAACCAAGTTTCAAAATTTCATTGGTCACATCTTCAATGAAACTCAGATACAATAGTTCTTCTTCACTGGAAAGGCAAGGCAATATACAGCATAAAAATGATTGCTTACTTATTCTGAACACCATAAGAAATATGAGTAGCTAATGAGAAATATCTATCTCATTAAGGGGCATATTATAAAACATTTGTCTATCATCTCAAATTATGTAAGGATATTTACTAAAATGAATTATTACCTAATAGAGTAAAATTTTACAGGTGTCTACAATATCCATAGGAGTAAAAAATAAGCAGAATTAAAATAAGAGAGCAACAAATAAGATAGCAACCAAGGGCAAGAGGGCAATCAAATGCAATCCACTGGAGCAAGTATTCCCAGGGGGTGTTTTAAATGTCCTCTGGCTCCTGACCATGTCCAGCAGCAGAGGCGTGAGCCCCTCTGCAAGGCACCTGCAGGAGGCAAAAAGGAAAGTAGTCCAGAGAAAACCAAGAGCTTCGACATGAAGTCTGAGCCTAGTTCTAGGATGTCATCTTGTTTTAAGGTTGAGAAATTTACTGAGCAGAAAAATGTATTTTTTCTCAAAATGTTTGGAAAAAAGGAACAAATTCTAACAGGAAAATTTGTAAACATAAATATGCCAGCAACTTT